TACTTAACCAACTCAGATTTGATTAATCAAATAAGTGAAAAGGAAACTGGCAAGAGATTCTAATGAAGGGATTCATAAGTAAAGATATAAGTCTTTGCTGCTTGAAGGAAAAAGATACTTTAAGTCGTCTTACAAAATACTGCTTATATGATTCGGAAGTTGCATGACAAATTACAATTAGCTCATTATCACTGGATAGTGAAATTAGTGAACGTATGTAGAGATATAATTGCGAAGTTTCACGGCTTGAAGATTGACCATATTTATTCGCATGTTTTACGATTTGAAATGATTTCTGTGAAGTACTGATATCTCGAAACAACAAGTGATCACGTTATCAGATACAATCACACAGCTGACCCCGCACATCGTTAATGACCGTCAAAAATAAGTAGCCTGTAGGAATTCTGTGGATGAATCCATTGGAATAATCATGCGATGGTAGTGAAGTACAAAAATATTAGGGCTAGCACCGTTAATGATATATTCAACTGATAATTGCAAGCTGCATCACCTTCTGCAAAGACAATCAATAATTGATTTCAAAATGTTGGGAGCGGGAATTATTGCTTCAATAGGGATTTTTCAGGATCCCAATAATTCTCATTCTGCATATGATTCATTCATCTCTTGTACTTAAATTACAATGGGAAACATTTACATATTGAAATTTTGTAGTAACAAAGAAATCAATTCTGTTTTCATTAAGAGATAACAAAATGCAGAATGGTTCTCCTTCTCTTATTCATTCCCAATATCTGAAGATCGAAATTCCGAGGATACTTTATAGCGGGGACAAACCAAAAAGTCATATAAAGACCATTCCCATGTAATGGTTATTCACTACCCATTAAAGTATTTCGTCCATTAAAGGTCTATATTGACCTGGCAGGTGTTGAGTAATCGATCATTACTCGAGTATCATCTCCCGTTCCGCTCATATTACAAAGGCGGTATCCTTCCCTTCAGGAAATGATAAACCTTTTTGTTCTTCTTAATGAGTTCCTCATCAATGTATCTATCATGCATCTGTCTCATTTGCATGCACCATTTTATCACTCATTTATTATAACATTCATTCCTTGTGCACAGCGAACTTCATGACAACTAGAAATGACGCAAATAACTTTGCTTATGTTAAAATGAAATTTCAAAAACTGACCGTCTTCCGCTGCCGCATATCCTTCGGCGGATGAATCACTAGTATGAATTATATACAATAATGGGGTCGATACTTCGGCTGAATTCCTGCAAATCAATTTTTTCATGCTTCAATTTTCGAATTTTACTCGAGTGCATTATAAAAATTCAAAAATTTGGCAAATTTTAAAAAATTCCCTAAATTTTTACAAAAATTATATCACACATACTTTATATTCATATTCAGCGCTAATTTCCCTTCCTCCTGAGCATTTCCTTTTGCTCTTAATTATTGTTGATGGATTGATGAATATACAATCAATGTACCAAATCAAATTATCCTTAACTCAAGAGCACTAATTAAGATCTACGATAACTGTTGATGTGCATATTTGAAAAGAATTTCATTTCAAAGAGAAAAAAATCCGAAACCTCAGGATTTCCGTGCAATACCTCAGCATTCCCCGATGATTGTGCGGGATAATTTGAATGGATAGCGAATAATGTTTTAAAACACTTTCTTTCAATTTAGAATATATTTATTAATATATAGAGTATATTGATCCTATAACTGCAATGTAAAAACTTACTGTAATCGATGCCTAAAATGAGCACTTGAAGGTTCGAAGTAATCGTTGAGATTGTCCCCTCGATCTGCAAATTATCTAATTCATATCAATACTAAATTTTCATAAATTACGACTATTTTTAATTGGTTGTTTAGCTTTTCACTTCGTTTGTTTCCTATCTTTCCTGTAAACTTTACATCCAAATTACATTTAGTTTTTGTTTCTGTCAGTGGTTCAGTCTTCTAAACCTTCAATGATAATTGAAAAAGTTCCAATTAAACTAAAATTTCAATTAATCAGTAGCTCTCATTTATTACTGCAAAATGCTGACTATTAGAATGATAAACTCTCATCCAAAAGACCTTGAAATTAGCATAATTTTCGAGATTTCCACAGTAATTGTAGTAACCACTGATCCTAAATTAATCCATCTAAAAAGACCCCTCATTATTCACGACAGTGAAACCTCCCAAGATTGAAAATCGGAACTTCAAATCTCTTTTTTGTCACCATTTAAGTAACTGTTGACCTCTTCGATTAGAATGAAATTATTGGTTTACTAAGTACTCGTGCCAACAACTATCCTGACTTATTATAAATTAGCTGCTAGATCTAGACTGCAGTAAAAGTACGCCGTAGTGAAGCCTTTTAAGCACTATTCATTTAATTAAGCGATAGTGTGGAAAATTAAGGAGAGAATAGAAAAAAGCTGAATGGGTAATCAATTTATTGCTATTGCTTTTAATTGGCTCATTATTTGCAGTTCTTGAAAGAGCATTACCACTCCATGCATTTTACTGATTTTCAGATGACATCCATCACATACTTTTGGATAATGCTTTCATTGAAGTAATTCGAAACATTCTGAACTTTTAATCGAATTTCAACGAATGTTTGTTCTTTTTAAATTAAATTAAGACTTTTGATATGGACTAAATTTTCATGAGACATACAATTTCAAAAAATTTCTCATTACAAATTTTGTTTAGATGACTTTCAAAACATAGAATTTGTTTATGGACTATGGGAGAATATGCAACAGCGCAAAAGGGAAGTTACTCTTGATTAGCATCCTCATTTACTTATCCAATCACTTGACTTGGCACAATTCATTTATGCTTGAACTTTATTTGCTTACATAACGCTTTCTTAAATTCGAAATTAAATTATTCTAACTTCAAATGTATTTTTAAGTAGATCTTTGAACCCCACCTCTCTTCTCAATCTGTTCAACAATTTACAAAAGCTTTCAATGTGACAACAGTATCACCATCATCATCATCAACAACAACGACAATACACTGCTGTGCATAAATAAATAAATAAATAAATAAATGATTGTCCTCGGGTTATAGCGATAAATTGAATTGAATTGAAGTGTGTGTTTGTTTATCCGCATATTTAACCTTGTTATTGAATACGTTTTACCTATTAACAATGCAGTGTGACAACTAAAATTAATATCATATTATCAACCATGATGTTTTGCCAAATATCACCCAATTATCTATTTTCTTGCATTTTTGAGAGATCCTGAGATCAGCTGAGACGGTTTCATTTGAGGATTCAATCAGGTCATCAAGTTTACCTGCCGTTTCCTGGATGATGAAAGGAAACCAATGCTTTTGTCAGTTACACCTGTTCATTCTTTTTTATTTGATTGGCATTAACATGTATGTTTGGTACTACTTGCTCATCAAACTATGACATTTATACAAAATGACCCATCGGTAAGCAGCACATCACTTTTGTATGTTGCTATTGTCGCCCTGTCTACAGGTAATTTGATACTCAGGTAATCTACTCGAAGTATCATGATAGCATGGATGAAAGAGAAGAAAATTTTTCGTTGAATTAAATTCGAAATTATACTTCCGAATTTCCCTTTCCTTGAAAGCCGTCTTTTCTTTCCGTAGAAACTTTGAAAAATATTACCTGATTGGATTTCAAATTTGATCTTCATATGTTCACTAGCACATAGACCACCGGACCGCCTGTCGATACCCTTTTCGGTACCATCTGAAGTGGCTGAAAAAGAACAAATTTTACAACAAATTTTTTTACCAAATTTCACGATGGCAGGATAACATCCTTTAATTGCTTCCGATTTCGATTCAGGAAAATCCTTCAAAAAGAAACTTCCGTTTATCTTTTTTCAATTAGACGCAAATATTATTGGTTCAAATCCTGTCCAAGTTCAAAGTTTTCTGGATTTTCGTTTAAATTCTTTAGCTGATTGAAAAAACGAACAAATTAGCTGCTAAAAATATATTCCTTGTAACGGAATCCTCGTCCGTATTTTTCCTGGCTACCAGATAAATATTCCCGATATAACAATTCTCTGAGTATAAATCAACTCAGATTATTGATGAATTGAAACCTTTCATCCTTTCCCTTTCTCCTCTCTCTCTCTCTCCCTCCTTCTCTTTCTCTTATAAAATACTATTTAAAGCGATGTAAAGGAATGGAGAAGAGAGATGAACAGGAACGGGAAGATGTCATCCTGTCACGTATATGTCATTGTGGTCCATTTTTTCTATGTTTCATTTACGAGGAAATGTAAAGAATGCAAGAAGTGGACATCATCAAGGTCAAATAAAGTGGAAGGAATAAGACATATGAAATGATTGATTCCTTTTTAATACTAAAAAAAAAAAAAAATTTATTAGTCTTCCAGTGACTATGAAGGATATATCATTAATAAATTAATAAATTTCCCTCCTCATTTTGGTTAATTTTTATCTATAAGGTTTGGAAAGTTGCCGAAATCACAGAAATTCATTTCGAGCCCCTTCAAATTCAACTTCAACAATTCCATCAGGCTTATCAGTCCCTTTTCTTCTTTCTATCTCGTTCTCTCTTCCCTTCCCCGAGAAATGCAGCATTGCTTAGTGACACCATTAAAGAATCATTTTCTTTCATTATTAATAATACTAAATTAAAGAAGGACAGGAGAGTCGTTGCGCAATTGGCAATACATCTGCTCTGAACCTTACGTACATCTTGAGCGCAAATGTACTGATACCATGAAAATTAAAGAATATATCGACAGCGTCATTAAAGATCCATGCTTATCCCTTGAAATGGTAATCGTAATTTCTGTTTCAACTAAACACGTCAATAGTAATGAATTTTTTAAATACTGTATTTCATTTGTCTTGGAAATTTAAAATTTAATGCGAACTACTGAAATCTATTCGGCGTGTTACGCTGCATAACTTTGCACGCTGCAACTTTATGCTATGCGTAATGCATTGCGTAACTTTACACGTCGCAACTTTATGCTACACGTGTTCTGTTGTGTGAAATTACACATCATTACGGTAGACATGAAACACCATACCTTATTCTCCAATCGATTGCCGGACTGAAAGCAAATCCCGAATAATCGCAACTTGATCCTTTCTCAATCGGGTCAAAGAGGGACGAGTGGATAAAATTCGG